GTCTTGAACAGTAGATCTAAACTAGTCTGGAACTCTATTGACGTTTAATACAGGAACTGTTTTGGTCAAAGAGACGACGGTATTGCGAAACTATTATAAACTAGTTGCAGAAGTTTCAACACTGAACAAAGTAATAAACTTGTACTATTAACAATGATAGTTACTTTACCAAGAAAGAATTCACAGTAGCCTTAAATTACATAGTTGTTTGTAGTAATTCGTGGTTATTACAAACAACAATAAAAACTTTACATTACGACGTTCAAGTTGTGTTACAATTATTGTTCTTCTTTATTTAGTTCCCTTTTCAGAAAATAGTTCTTTATGATTAGGTTAGAATCTTAGACGGATACAATGTAAAATAAAATGCAATATTTACATCCTTATTGTAACTAAACCTAATAGGCCATACTCTAGGGATTGGTAAGAAAATGAAAGCACGATCGGTTTTGAAATTAATAGGCCTACAACCTCTTGCTTATCACCAGTAATAAGTTTGTAAATAACGGCAGTAATAATCTTTAGAGAAAATACCTTAATTCGGATCATGAAAAGAACATTTTGTCGATAGACAGCTTTAAAATGTTGGTTTCATCGTAGTCAATGGTTTCATTTACAAACTTGTACTTACATGGAAAAATAATTGGGGTACTTTTATAGGTATCACTAACAAAAAAATCTTAGAGCCAATGGCTCTAGAACTAAGAAACTAAATTTATGTTTACGCATCGTATGCACGAGTAGGCATATTTTTATCAATAAAAATAATATACAGTAAATGTACATGAATCCTCAACCTGAACTAGTATCACTTAGAAGAAACCAATCTTTGGAAAAGCTTTATTAGAATTAGCCTCCAAACAACAAAGTTACCGAGAACGATGTTAACTTCGTTGTTTGTAGCCGTCAGCGAAATAATTCTACTTTCAACTCCATCACCGATTGCTGGAGTTTTAAGTAAGTCCTAACATTTAAGTCAACTTAAACTGTTGTTGTTGTTACCATCATAAGTATGAAACATCGTTTATGATTAAAACATTTGTTTTTCAAAATAAAGTAATATTTAAAATGCTAGATTTAATGATTGGAAAAGAAATAATCTATAGATAATATTTCCATTCCGATACAATACAAATATTTCATTTTCAAAATAGTCGATTTTAAGAACTATTCTAAACGGGTACATAGTATTCATTGAAATGTTATGTACTGATTAATTATATAAACGTCTTGTAGTAAACATAAATAAATGAAAATCAGACTCTAAAACACTAACCGCACGACTCTTTTAGGTAAAAAAAGAATAAGAATTTTTTTTTTTTAATAAGAATTTTAGGATTATAAAAAGAATAATGACCATTTACTCCTATTCGTGGAACCGGGTGAAATATAAACTACTAAGAGTACAGAGCTGAAATTAAAATCCATATGTAGATCATAAACCCAAGAACATCTTGTAATTGCATCAATCCCTAAAAGTAAGTCTAAAGCTAAGAGTTAAAGCTAATGGAGTTAGCTAATGGATATATTTGGTCTACACAAGCAATCTACAAATATGCAGACGATATTGTTATATTTACATTATTTACATTTCTGTAAAGTTATGGATCTTATATTGCCACATAACTACCAAAAAAGCTATGTGGACATATGAGTTTGCTTATAGAGGTGAGAAATTGAGGATGTAAAGTTTTTATTGAATAAAATACAGTGGTAGAAAAGTAAAACGAAAATCCAAATATCCTAGACATTTTTATCTTCTGTTTCCTATCCTCCTTTCGAAGCACGTAAATTCGACAGATAAACTAGTAAATTCTAAAATCGCGGCAAACTAGAAGGAAACACTCAAATCAATAGTTGCTCAAGTGTAGGTTTGAGTGGACTTAAAAACAAATGATTTCGTTCTTTCCCGAAATGGCCACGTGTCATTGAGTGATGTCGTGTGATTATACAGCAATAACAGGTTATCAGTTTTGATTAGAATAACTGGCAAGTAACAAGCCCAGGTAGTTTACAACTGATAGGTTTTGTGATTGTAAACCAAGGTTGAACCAGTGTTTTCCGGATATGACTGGGTCAAGTGACAGGAAGTTTAACGTAAAGTTATGGAAAATCGAATGTGAGTCCCGATTTGCTATATTACCTACACAGGGTGTTTCGGAACTTTCCACCAACATTTTAAGGTACTATTTTAGGGTTAATAATAAATTTATCATATTTTAATCCCCTGTAAGTCAACTCTTACTTACAGAATAGCCATTTTAATACGTATTGTTTTTTTATTTAAAATTTTTTATGAATGGCATTTTGGAACGTCACAAGTTTTACTAACAAAATTACCGAATGTTAAAATTCAAAATTGTAGCAATTATTTCAGAAGAATTATTAAACCGTGAATCTTATTATAAAGCCACAGGAATAATCTTTTGGAATAATCTTGGAAATAATAAAAACTTAATGACACTTCAACATTGAGAACACAATGAACAATAACCAATAGAATTGTTCGTGGTGCGCGCCTGTAATTTCCTCATAAAACTATCTCATTGGTTCGTGCGATTGTCACTTTTGTGGACGATAGAGCCGGCGTAAATTGGCCTACACTAATAAGCGCGCATTACAAAAAATGTCATACCCCAGAAAGTATACATTAAAAGATTGGTAGAGAGTTACGAACCACTCTGTATTCAAGCTGTTTGGTTTTAACTTTTTTCTTGTGTTCTTCCTAACTGTTATTTTATCGAAATATACGTTTTGACAGTGGAGTCGTTGGTAATATTTTAACGTACCTACCTAACCTATTTCCATCAAGAGAAGTTGATGGTATACAGAAGTTTCGGGTACGGCCCAAACTGAGTTTGCAATTCCTGAAAAGTTTGTAAATCTTCTGAGACAAAATTTCAAATAGAAATACAAACCTCTGTATTGAATCATTTTATTTTACTTGCGAATCACAGTAACTATGGTTTGGTAACACAACATTTTACAATAAAGGGAAACATTTTTATTTACCAAGTGTTAAAGGTGGATAAAATGCGCTGCCACAATTAAAGGATCAATTTATGTTTTTATTGTTTTGTTTTTCATTATTTTAATACATCTAGCGTTAATAATCGATAACCCAAAATTCATTAAATGAGTTCCTAAAATATTTTGTCTAAAAATTATTAACTAGCCTACTCTACCTAACTACTAACCTAACTGTATGAATACATTTCTAAGTTAACGGACTTACAATTATGTTTATTGTCTAAAATATTTCCAAAACAAAACAAATTAAAATATAATTAATGGTTAATATATGGTAATGAGTCCTATAAAATAAATTAAACGACCTTTCGTTCATGTACAATATTAAGAGTTCGTGTACTACAAATATAAAACTTTACAACACATAATCTGTTTAGCACAAAAGAACCCAATGCGATCACCAAGGTACTTATCACGTTTATCCCATGATAAAGGACGACTGCTGGTCTACAATCCCTGATATCATGTGTATAACATTACGGGATTTTACACGTAAACCAGTCGTATGAGATCAGGGATTATGTAAAGCAGATATGATTGTGTACGTGTCATTTGCAACCTTTATTACAATTTACCGCTTCGTCGATTTGAAACTGAACGAGCATTTTACATTAATTGGCAAATTAACATTCCTATTAAGAGTTGTGACATTGCTAATCCAAGCAGGGCTTAATGGTAAACGTGATGTAGAGTTAATGCATAACAAGTGCAGCGTTAGTGTTTCTGGATAATTAGAAGTTTTAGTATTCTAATTGTGTTCTTAGTGATGGATTTTTTTAATAAATAATATTAGTTTTTCTGTGTTTTAACTAAAACATTTTAGTAAACATTTTACTTGTTAGTTGTTGGTGTATTTTTACGATGGCGTAGAAGGGCTATGGAGAAACATTTTTTTTTTTTGTAAAATTTTGACTTTAAATCTCAAAATGTTGACTTTTATTCTCCAAATTTTGACTTTTAATCTCAAAATTTTGACTTTTAATCTCACAAGATGTATTTATTTTTTACAAGTACAACCAACCGAGACAGTATGACCAACACAACGGCACAAGCGGCATACTTGGATGGCACGCTTTCTCTTATGTTCAACCAGAGAGTAGTGACTCCAGTCTATATATTCATCTCTATGGTTATAGTAGGCCTACTTACGGAGTTTGGTGGTAATTTAACACTCAAAACCAGATGATTTAAACAGTAATTGAGCTCCAGTTGTAAAAGCGCTTGCAATAAATACGACGTTGTAGAATTCAATGAGTTTTGAGATAGAAATAAATATTTTGGGTCAAAACTTTGAGAATAAAAGTCAAAATTTTGAGATTAAAGTCAGAATTTTACAAAAAAATGTTACTCCATGGCCCTTCTACGCCGTCGTATATTTTCCTTTAATAAGTTTTAACAGTGGATGAATAATGTGAAAATTGATGCAACTAAAAAACCAGACGAATAAAGATCAACTAAATATGGTAGGGTCGGGTTGATAGAATTTAAATCGTACATTTAAAAACAAACAATTATTCGAAAATAACAAAAAAACTTTATAACGTGTACGTGGAAGACCTTTTTTAGAGCTTGAGTTTAAAACCCAGATGAAACCTTGTTAACTTAAGAATCCGATATCTGGCTGTTGCATTGTAACTTGGTGACCAATGTATATGAAAATGGTGAATATTCTGATTTATTTTTACAACTAATCTTAATGGGGAGTAGTGTGATTTAAAATATCGTTATTATAATTTTGACAAATGATGCATTGGATTTTTGTAGTTTTTTCTCTGTGTAAATACCTAATCTAGCATAAATTGCATAGCTTCAACGCACATTAGATATTTATTGAGCTTGGATCTTGTGAGGTACTACTTAAGTTACTGACTTGTGCTGTTTTTGCTCTACTTTTCTAGAAATTGTATTTTAATTACGTTATGAATTATTAAAGACGAATTATAGTTTTATTGTGTAATGATTTGTTCCAGATGGCGGGCCGGTTCAACGTGGCCAAAGCCATGCAGAAGGGTGGGATAGACAACCCTGCTCTGGACATGGGTTCAGGACTGACACTGCACCAAGAAGGAGATGTGCAGTACGGCAGCCAGAGTGACTTGACCAACAGTTTCTGTCATCTCACCATGGAGGCGCTTCCCAGAGCCGACTACTACAAGAACAACAAGGACGCCATGAAGAGACCTTCACTAGGAGAGCTGCACGGCGAACCGAGAACCATTGATATTGTGAGTCGAAATCCGATAAAAAATAGTTCTACCGATGTAGATTAACATGTTTTAGTCATTGTATCTCTAGACATAATGGTACAACCCCCCAATTGTTACCGTGCAACTTTTGTGATTTTACCCATAAAGTATCATAGTAACTTCCACAGCTTGCTTATGTTGGTTATAGAAAAGCTAATTGGAGAAAGTATTTGTCAGAATGTTGATATCGTTTATTTACCTGGCTTAAGTCTTAGCAAATTTACTTCAAGACAAGCACTCGATGACACAATCCTCCCTCACACTCAACATACGCACACTGCCAGGGTTCTACGCATACGCCAAGAGAGAAAACCCATATTGCATTGTAAAGTCAAACAAAGTATTGGACTTTCTACTTCTTCCTGTTGCTTCGTTAGGAACTGAAGGAAGTCTCGTAAAATAGACAAGGCTTCTAGACAAATAGACAAATGGGTAAGGCTTCTTGCCCAGGAGGTGTAAGTGAAGTAATTTTGGATTTTGTACGGGCAGATTAGTTGGGTCGTGGAGTAAGGTGATTTGTATAATAGAGCACACAAGGATGTTTCTTTTTACTTAAGGCACACAGAGATTAATGATACGGAAATAAATTAAGCAAAAATTTGCCACCAATTATTTTTCTCAGTCTGAACCGTGTTTGAAATTACCATACATTAAAATATTGAGAAAATATATGAAAATATGGAGGTATTGTGACTGTTAAGTAAATTTCAATCCGACAAAAATTATTACTGGTGCTTATAACACACCTGTAAAATTTAGGAATATATTTGCCTGACGAATGCCATCCTAACATTTGTATTGTTGTACCTTACTATGTTGATGTTGAGCTGATTGGTGTGGCTATATATAAGGAAGAATTCGGCATCATAAGCTTGTTAGGAGAGGAATTATTTTTGAGAAACACATAACCTGTTTCGTAAGTATTGGGAAATGCATACAAATATCCTATTTTTACGAACCCTACTTTTAATTGTGAATGAAAAGCTTAACACTGTGAAGTGACAAACATTTGAATATGTTTAACAGTATCAAACGTGGCGTAAACATAATTTTGACTACTTTCTAAAAAGATTATGTCACATTTAAAATTTCTCAGATCAATAACCCTTAATATTTGATCGGTAGGGTGTAGGCCCAGGCCAGAATTTTAAAACCAAATACCTTAGTCAATTCTCAGCCAGCCATGAAATTGTGATTAAGACACAAATAAGCGTATCTTTTGACACAAGTCAGTTCTCTACAAGAGCTATGCTAATATTGGCAACACACACAGACCTTCCTTGTTCCCATGAAGCGTGAGTTGACTACACTAAGGGCTTTCACCGTCAAACCAGCCAACGTTCCCGAGAGTCAAAGGCTTTACCGAAACTATCAGACCGTCGCCACACTTGAGGATACCTACTCAGTTTACCGTCACCAAGTGTTTCCGTTTCTAGACTGAATTCCTTCGAGATCGGTATAGCTATTTGCATTTGATTTAGACATTCAAAGACACGTTAGGATCAAAATCAGACAAACATTGATAAACTAAAGCGCTTTACGTCCACTCTAGGCTTAACGGGTATAAGAAAATGTTAAGCTGTTAGGTATAACCATAGATAAAACATATCCCCATTGTAGATTTGCTATCCTTATAGATCAGGTAAATACAATTTTATAGTTAGTTCCGTCCGGCACCCTGTATAGGTCGTGTTTTGTTTACGATTTAAAACCTCGTTTAGCCAAATAAAACGATCAAAACGTCAACTATACCTCGTCCCCTAGTTAACCAAACAGTTAAGCTCAAATCATAAAATAAACCCATAAATAGTAGAAACTAAATTTCGTCGATACTAGCAATCAGTGTCATCAAACATGAACACGAAAAACAAGCTTCGAAATTTACAATGGGATGAGAAGTCTACTTGTGTGGATTAGTCTATGCTATAACGAGCACTAACACAAAATCTGCTACCCGATAATATTACTACCAAAGCCAGTAAGTTCTTGAGCGAGTCTTGGATTCACGGAGAGGAAGGACTGCGGTTACACTTACCAAGGTCATCGTACTTATTGACCTTGACCTTGACCGAGAACAACTCGGCGTCTGTCCGTAGTCTCTCTTGGTGTGTGTGTGTGGAAGAGTGTGTTATCAGTGTAGGTACAATACAACGTGTGCTCCCACTATCTCCGCGTTCCGCCATCTCCGAACCCAAATCTGTCCCGCCATCTCCGAATTCTTGAGTGACCCTTATAATCCCGTCACTGCCTGCGTTGTTAGCTGTCATTGCATCCACGGCTGCGAAGCCCCGTGGATGGAAGATTTAATGAAAATTTAACCCGTGGGTTAGGTTAGGTTAGGTCAGGTTAGGTTAGATTAGGTTAGGTTAGGTTAGGTTAGGTTAAGTTAAGTTAAGTTAGGTTAGGTTAGGTTTGGACGGAAAGTCTTAACGCAGGAAGTAACCGAGGATTATAGGGGTCACTCTGAAATTCGGAGGTAGCGGTACACGGAGATGGTGGGACGCGGAGATAGCGGGAGGTAACCCAATTCAATACAAGCCTTACGGCTGGGATTCTAACTACTGTGTTCACAAACCGACTTCTGACTAATTAAAATTTCTGTGTACCATTTTTCTGGAGTATAAATAAATAATGTAAAAGTAATGTCTACATTCACAGGGGTAGGCTATTTTGCCAAGGCACCGTAGTAGAATATAATTATTATATATACATACCATTGTCAATAATGATGGACCTTAAACCTAGACCTACAAGCTAGGAAATTATCACGCCCTAAACATAAAACCTACGACATCACTAAAAGTAGAATTTATAGTGAGGCATTAAAAAGTATCAGAACCTTTTTTTCGTGTTGAATTAAAGAAAGAATGCTCTTCTAGTATTGCACCTCTTACTAAATTGTGTTGAGTTAGATATAAAAAAAATAACTATTACAGTAAAAATGTTTTTCATACTGTTGTAAAACACAATCTCAAAGGTCAAGAAATGAATTTTTGCATTAGTAAGTGATTGGTTTTGTTTACACGCTCCATTACTTAATAATCACAAATACACCTATTTAAGAGTTAGGGCTGCCTTATATACCATATAAATTCACAAAAATGTATTTTAAAATCACGATTCTTAAACGTCTGCAGTTGAGTATTTTTCCTACTAGAAATCAATACAATACAAATACTAGTACGTTAGGATATGTTTCCTTCCTCGCCATGTATCATTTACACCAAAAGACAAAGTTTCTTTTTAAACATTGACAGGAGAGACATTTTAAAATATTAGGAAAGTTAACATGGAGAAATATTTTATCTCGTATGTCTGGAATTTCCCTCTGGCCTGAAGGCCAAGATAGGAATTGAGCCAAACTGCTCTGCAAGACGAACGGTGTTTTCAACTTTCCAACAGTTGGTATTGTTTGAGTTTAAAACAAAGTTTGAGCACATGTTGTAAACATTTACTTTTTCATTCAAGCTAAAACTTTGTTTTGATCATAAATTTGATTTTATCTTTCTTATTCTGAGTGAATTTACCTTACGTTCCTTACACGTTCAGATTGTTTGGCTGTTGGTAAAATTATTTAAATTTTCCTCAGTTTGTTCAAAAGAATATTGACTATGTATATTGTAAGTTATATTTGTAGTTACATGGACAGTATTTAGGGCTATATTGCAATTAACTTCGGAATTTAAAGTCATTATTTCAAATTTACAGTTATATACATTCAGTTATTCTGTGTCATTTGAACATTTTGTAACCGAAAAATGTTTGATTTTCATTCCCACATATCTTAATCGATGGCTTGGTTTGGTACAGTAGAACACATCTTTCTATGGCTGTGTAGGTACAATATAATCGTCCTATTATGTTCCGTCTTGTTAGTAAATTTCCACATGATATTATTGGTGACAAATAATTGATTATAGAAAGTTTTTCTAGCTCAAGTTAGCTGAACTATTTTGGTACTATGTAGGCCTATAGAAACAAAATCTTTACGGATCATAGTTTAAGCACTACCTATATTTGTAGTTTTTTAAACCAGTTGTTGCATTGATTAGCCCAAGAGTTTATAATCAGATGTAGAAAAAAATGTCAACTATAATGTCTAAAAAACTTTAATAATCCAAAATCAGTCTGAATAAATGTTAACTAATTTAACTTAAATAAAAATTTTCAAAACCACTAAAAAAATACGATTCCTTGGCTTAAGGGATTAAACGACTTTCTCACAATTCTAATGTTCTCTACTATTACCTTGAAGCTCGATCTATTTCCATCCTCAAAACCCTTATCCCTAATTCCCTAAATATTGGTATAATCCAATAAAACATTATTTACAGAACTTAGAGAACGGCGAGGGCAAGACGATTCCTCCAGAGGACCCAGAGCACTCTGGGATGAAGCTCGGGTGGATTGTTGGTGTGTTGATCCCCTGCCTCCTGAACATCTGGGGAGTGATGTTGTTCCTCCGACTCTCCTGGGTGGTCGGCCAGGCGGGGATCCTGGAGTCCCTGCTGATCATCCTAGCCTCGGCCACGGTCTGTGTGTTGACCACCCTGTCCATGTCGGCCATCTGTACTAACGGCGAGGTCAAAGGAGGTAAGATACTCAAAACTTTATTGAAAGTTGATAAAAATCTGGGAAATTGATTTGAAATGCATTTCCCAATGTCGTGTAATGATCTCAATGTACCCTTCGTATACCCTAAACATAAGTGAGTTCCAAATTTGCTTGTCAATGTCTTCAGATGGTAAAAAAACGTAAAGCTTGAAAACATCCAGGGATATTTGGTTGATTTTATTTTTAATTATAACTAATGGAAACTCAACATTTTTTTACTATTAAAATTAATTTGTATAAAATCTCTTTGAATGTAAGCATATTAAATCATAGACTAGTAATTAATTAAACGTTATAGGAAGCTTCCATCAATGCATTCATCTACCTTCCACGTGGTTAAAGATGAGAGCTAAAAAAAGAGATTTGTTGTGATAGATTTTAAATTTTTGTTAACCTATCATTTTTTGGGTTGGTATTTGTTTAATGGTTTTTAACCACGTAATATGTCCTACCATATTGTATACGCTGAGAACTGATTGTTGAGTAGTCAAAAGCCCCATAAGATTCTTATACGAGTATTTTTGCATGTTCCTATTATTTTTCGTTCATCTCACTTCAGTCATTAACTTCCTGCCATGAATTAACACGACTCTTTCACTGCAATCATGAATGCTCTATCTTCCAGGAGGTATATACTACATCATCTCGCGGTCGTTGGGACCGGAGTTCGGAGCGTCAGTCGGGGTCATCTTCGCCTTCGCCAACGCCGTGGCAGCCTCCATGAACACCATAGGTTTCTGCGATTCCCTGAACGATCTGTTGCGCAACTACGACCTCAAGATTGTCGACGGAGGTCTCACTGACGTGAGGATTGTGGGTACAATCGCTCTACTTATCATGATCATCATATGTGCTGTTGGAATGGAGTGGGAATCAAAGGTAGGCTACAGTCTGATATAATTAATGTTGATGTAAACAATTTATTTGGAGAGTCGGTGGCTCAGTCGGTTATGGGTTCAAATCCAGGCCACTGACACAAAACTTTATTCAGTTCAGTTCACTTTCATACTGTACCAGCTCACTCCTTGATTTGCTGGATACGTTCCACGCACGGTCCCATAAATCTTTGTGGACGGGCAAATGCAAAGTTAAAAGAGGCCACAAACCTCTTTAAATAAACATAAACATAATATAAATATAAAAAATAAACTTATAAAATACTGTGAATTACAATACAATATATTTATATCGCCTACGGTATAAATATATCGTACTGTAATTCACAGTATTAGTCGTTAGATAATTCTGTTAAATCTGTAAATAGGCCTACCTAAATCAAACAGATTTAACAGAATTATCTAACGACTTGATTTGTTCTGCATGAAAATCGGTGCCATTAAAAATAAATGAGTTCACCGTTGCACGCAGTTTTATTAAATCACTAACCAAGTATTCTGTTGATTGTGTGAAGTGCATGACAGTGCGATTTTTCCCGATTCGGTTTGCTTACTGCTAGGTCTAACTGCATCTGAAGGCAAGTTATAAACTAACTTTTACCCATTAATCACAACTAATACATTTTAGGGTCACAATAAAATAAATTGAAAGGTCGTACTTTCTTATGGTTTTTATATTGTTTTGTTTGCTTCCTCAATCACGCTTAGTTATCATTTAGAAAATCTAAAAAAAATTGTTTAAAACACTACTTCATCTTAATTATTTATTTTCAATGTATTTATGTACATCGTTTTTTTATCCAGGCCCAGAACTTCTTGATCGTCGTTATTGTGGCGGCAATCATCGACTTTTTGGTGGGAACTCTCATAGGTCCAAATGACGACATATCAAGAGCCCGAGGATTTACTGGGTTCAACAGTAAGACATTTTGTTAAATGTATAAACATATCCTGTTAAAATTCCCCTAGTACTATTTTAGGCAATTTTTTTCATTGGTTATAATACTAATTTATCAAAGATCAACATTAGTTGTAATTTTGACGGGTCCAAAGAGGCAATCCTTAAAATTGTGTATAGTTTTTGTCATAATAAATTTTGATGCAGCAGTAAGTAGTATAAACCGTTTTTATAGGTGTAAAAATTGATGTGTATTATTTTATTTTACAGACTAGCTAAATTTTTTCTTTACAATTGATAAAATCACAGTATTATTTAAATGTTACTTCTCAATATAGCATGTACATTCGACATATACATGTATAATACGTACTTGTGTGATTTATGCAGTACTTGCATGTAAGTTAAACTCATCGAATATAGTAAATGATACGTGAACAGTTTTGCATGTTTTCCACTCTAATAACCATTGCATGTCATTGAAGAATATCACTAAAAATATTCCATTGATATTGCGATTTGCAATCTTAATTGACTATATAAAAAAAACGTTTGATATATTTGTAACAGATATCTTATTGCCTTATGGGTCACAAGGGCAGCAGAAAGCAGATATTTACCATGTGTTTATGAGGGCGATGTACCATTTCAGATTGCCAATTCTGTTAAGATTTTGGGAATGCCTTGACCCAGGTCCTGGGGAGACCAAACTGATGACATTTCCAAGGCTGCAGCTGGAATTTTGTTTTTAGTAACCTTGCAGACTTTACACAACTGAAGTGCAAACATGACTTTTATTGTCGAATTTTTGTCCTTCCCTCACTTTTCAAAAGAAACAAGACTGTATAGTAGATGTGCCAATCTCAGGCTGAAACGAGTATTCAAACTGCAGAAAAGGGCAATGAAGATAATTTGCAAATTGCGGCAGAGAGACTCGTGTAGAAATGTTTTCAGGGTGTTGGAGTATGAATGCTCACCAGTGCTGGCTAGAGACATCCATGATCATGAGACTAGGGACAGATAAATTAACCAAACCCAACAACATAGAAGAGTGACATTCGAGTTTTTGCCTTCGCAGATTGGCATCACAATCCTCGACCAACTCCCCGTGGCCATCAAAGAGTCTGAAACAAAAAATCTAATTAAAGTCTCAGCTAACATTCCTTTTAGAGCCCAACATGCTGTATCCATCGAAATTGCATAAACAAGCGCTGGAATTTTTTAAAACTAGGAAATATAAGACACTGTTAAAAAATAATAACTATTTTACTATCAAAACCGTTATTAATTTCATTATTGTTGTGTTTCAGCAACCGTGTTTATGGAGAATTGGGGCTCGAGCTACAGATACTCAGAGAATGTCAATCAGAATATGTTCACAGTTTTTGCAATCTTCTTCCCATCTGTGACGGGTATTCAGGCCGGAGCCAACATATCAGGAGATCTCAAGGTGCAGTTATTTACGTAATAGAACTAACACTAAATAGTATTGACTTCAATGTATATTTTTGCGATTATCAATATTTGACATTACACGCTTTATATTCACCCTTGAATTTACTGTACTTGATGAACAAATGCTCTTTGATGGATCATTATACAAGTAGATGTTTTTTTATTTACAAGTTTTCCTTACAGTAATGTAAACCAGATTTCACCAGTCAAACCCTTACTAAGATCTCTAAATGTAATACGTTTTAGTTACAAAGTTCTACACGTTATGCTGAATCAACATGAATAAATAGTAGCAAAGAGAATATACTAAATCGCTGATTAGTTTGTCGTCTCTGTAGGCTTCAATTCTGCTGATTGCACATGTCTTCAAGTAATTCCTTTTCACTTTGGCCTGACGTTTTAGTTCAACCTATCAAGAGTTTTGGTTTGGAGTATTTCAAACCATGTAATTCCTCTTCTATATGTTTATGTTACCGAGATAGATGTGCAAATGTGGTCAAAGATGGTGGAATTTGGTTGACATAAATTGTGTGTGTTATAAAATGCAGATATAAAGCTATTTAACTAAACCTTATATTCCTAAGAAATAATGTAGCAATAGATTAGCACAAACGTAAATTGCCTGCCGTATTTCCTGAGGGACGCTATCGTGCTCTCATCCAATTTTACGCCCTAACCACACAAACAAATATCTTTACCATAGTGGAATATATTAGAACGGGTTTTAGGAAAAATGAAACTAGTGAGCGAATTTAGATTATTAGGCATGGTGTAGTTTAAGTTCTAAAAACCACTTTACGGGATAGTCTTTACATATTTGTTGCGTGAGCAATAACCTTGACCTTTTACTTTGTTTAAAATCGTGTACCTGATTCTAAGACTTTTAATTTATCAAAAAATTACATTTGGTTGGCCTATCTCTATTGACCTGCTCCTATATGTCGTATGGTGTATGCAGTTGTATTCGACATGTTTATTTGATACAACAAAAACGTTGACTTGGAAATGGATTTTGTGTTGGCAAAATACGGAAGGCTTTAAGGTATGCATAATTTGGGCTGCTCTTTTAAGCTGAACAATAACTATTTTATTTTATCCATTTAAATAATTACTATGACGAACATAGTACAAAAAGAATATACATCTAAAGATACCCGTACCAAGTAATACATCAGTAGAATCAAAGACAGTATTTCAAATAACCAGTTTCAACAAAAATATGTAATTAAAAAAATATAAGTAGGCTACTCTAAAAGTAATACTGTATTTCAATTTGAAAGTCAGAGTTAACCTATTTATAAAAAAATGTTTTAGTCCATGAAAAAGACAAGAAAGTGGTATAATAATTCATTATCTTAGTTTATGAATAGTTATTAGAAGTTATTTTCTAATTAGTTGTTTATATTATTAGGAGTTATTATTTTCTTATTATGAGTTAGTTTCTTATAGAGTTACCTTATATTTTTCTTTAAATTATTTTTTTAAGTACTTTGTTCCTCCAAACCATTTAAAATATATACCAAATAATCATGGACAAATTTTTCTTGTTAAAGACCATCAATTATTAAAATACTTAATAGTTCGATCAATATTATTTTGAAAATTACTTGAACACTATGCATTTAATATTTGTCATTTTCATTGAATCCTATATTTTCAGTATATATTTAGTCAATACATATGCCAGTATTTACCTATTTGATCATACCTTTTCGAATCCTACTTGTAACTTATGTAACGTACCGCACTCTTCAGGACCCCGCCGACGCCATTCCTAAAGGCACGCTGCTTGCCCTACTCATCTCTATGATCTCCTATGCGTTGTTTGTGCTGTTTGCTGGAGGTGCTTCCCTGAGGGATGCCACTGGTGATCTTGCTCAATATTACGCGGGAAACTACACCAGCTGTGCGCCGGGAGAGTGCCAGTGGGGGCTGCACAACAACTACTCAGTAAGTGTTGTGATATCTGAATAATCAGTTTTGTTCATTTGTCCAGACTGTAAGAAAAACGCTAACTTTGAATGAATTCCAAAAAAAATATTGAACTCGCAGTCTTAGGGTTGCCTCTTGACCGATCAAACGTATGTAAAAAGCATTGGTTGATAAACAAATAGTAAAACTTTTAAAGAAAATGCATGATAAATATAGACTTAATATACACCACCCCTTCCTTAGGTTTTCTGAATTTGTATTTGTATTGTTCGTTTTTCACAAGATGGAATCAATTTCTACTCAATTAAATTACATTGTTGGATGTTAAATTAAGGAGTGTGGTTGACCATCCATCCTCTTAGGATAATCGTTTTATCTATTATCCGTACTTCATCTTCCACTTTAAAAAAGATAAATCTCTTGCAACCGCTCTTTACTCAAGATAAAACCTTTTGTTTTGTTTGTTATCATATTCTTTTACTTTAAGCTGGTACAGCTTGAGCACAGAAAGTTTCAAAAAGTAGTCAACTGAGGGGACATTTAACCACAGTTTCCATACATACAGGAATAGCATTTCACCTCGTGATGAACCTGATTCAAGTGGAGTTGTCCTGTAATCCAATTATACAAAGTTGACATCTGAGTTTTTACTAAGAATTTATTATACTAACTTGTACGAAACAACTCAACTTGCCTAATGTTTACCTTCCTCATTTGACTTTTGGGCGTGAACCAATAGGCTAGAGAATTTCCTCTTAGACTTGCAGATGTAAACTGCCTTAATCGATGCGTTACAATACAATTACGTTTAGTATTACCAAAGAATCCTTTAATTTTTTTATTGAAAAAAATATACAAAGTGTCTGACAATAAATTAAAAAACTAAGAGAGGGCGATTCTTGAAAATGGTATTTACATAAATATTTTGTACACATTTACATTTATGTTTGACATGTTCCAAATAACATTGTGTTTATTTAATTTGTTTTTATTCAAACCCAGCTTAACAGGGAACTATCAAATTACGCCTCTGTATAAATTCCTTACGACAAAATTTCAACATTGAACCCAATCATAATCATACACTGGCTCCAATGTAATCCTTGGGAGTCAATTGTTTCAGATTGATTTATAGATTTGTTTGTAGTTTTTTTGTAACACTTAAGTGTCACTCATGCTCTAACCCAATATTTTTTTCATTAATTCTAATAAATAATGTTTATTTTTACTGCAGCAAGGATATTTGATTTCATCCTAATGCAAATGATTTTTATATTACAAGTTCTAAAAGTTCTTTTAATGAATATATTTTGATAAACGTAACAGACTTTTTAACTATATCCGTTTATATTTATTACATGACATTACAAATTATAAGCATCGTTGACAATTTTTTTTTTAGATGATGCAGCTGATGTCAGTCTGGGGGCTGCTCATTTACGCGGGATGTTTTGCCGCCACTTTATCAACCGCCTTGACTAACCTACTCTCTGTACCAAGGCTAATACAAGCTTTAGGTATAGACCGTATCTACCCTGGCCTCATCTTCTTTTCCAAAGGCTATGGAAAGCACGGCGAACCCTACCGTGGCTATGTTCTGACCTTCATAATATCTGCTGCATTCGTTCTAATTGGTAAGATCTGTAAACATTCGTTCTAATTGGTTAGATCTGTATATTATCCCAACATTTCAATTAATCTATTACAAGTTCCTAAATTTAGTTAATTAAGAATAAATACTTTCCTTGTTTACATGGATAAAAAAATATTCTGTTGCAACAAATAACTTCTCCAAAATGTATGTTTAAAAAGTTGTCGATGTATGGAAAATTTATTTATTCCTACAAACAAAGTGTGTTCAGATGTCTTGACACCCAAAGATATGTCTTACTTGCTACAAATACCAACATATAAAATATGGTTCAAATACGTAGGCAACAAAATATAATGGTTCAACTATCACTTAACACATAAGTTGCATTAACTTTTGAAGCGTAATTTTTATAGGAATATGGGGTTGTACTATTTTCTTTGGGCTTATTGTACATACTATACAGTACACAGTAAACACAAAGGAACATAACGTTAGCCTATGTATCTACAATATTAGTTCGTATATATAATATTTCTTTAAAGATTCGTAAAAATATGTGTTAGTTTGTGTGTAACTTAGTTATTTTATTTGACACTACATATTTGCCCTAATTACATTAAAAATAAATTTTTCAATCTTTTACGTAAAACTCAAAACATTAACCAAGTATAAATTTACATTTACTTATCCAGAAAATTCAGGCGGAATAGAATATTTTCCATAAAGTCCTAAAGTAAATCAGAAAGTTTGACAGTAACATAGAAGTTTCTCGGTTGATCAGAAATCACTTGAGCGGAGGGGATAAACTGATGATTTATTATGCATACAGTTGGTCAACACCAAACCCTGTTCATCCCTCTTTATTAACCCCCGGGATTACATTCAGATTAACCGATTGACTTGGGTGGTTCTATTCAACGAATTTTTATCGAGTTTTCCACTTCCTCACTGATTTAACTTGGACTTTTAAACCGATTGGATTAGCCTATTTAATTTTATCTAAGCTTATCTCTTAGTAAAACCATTCTAATGAGTGAAACCACAAATACATGTGTACTTCGAATTGACTTTTTATTACACTATTCGAAGTGTATACTTAATATTATGTAGGTATCTGAGTAAACATATATTATTTACATAATGTGGAGTTAATTTCCAGCAAAATTGTGATCGGGAACGTACTGTAGCATGTTTTGAATGTTAACTACGTGTAATTCTCCAAAACCCACCTTTTGTTTTACATACAAAATGATTTCCGTGTTTCGGATGCCTGTAATGCATTTATAATGAAAGTGAGCACACGTTTTGCATTCAAGCGTATACAAAAGGTTAATGGAATGTTAAATAAAAATGTGTTATCTTTAGTGCAAATTTAGAGTATTTATTAATTAACCCCAACTTTGGCGGTTGTTTTCTCTGAAATGAAGAAGAAACCAATCTAACACAGTGAACATTTGTAAACCTTCGTTTATCACCACGAACGTTTTAAAGAAAATAACTTAACAGACTTATAAATAAATAAATGTAAATTTTTAATTAAGTTTTACCTTAGAATCTTAGATTATTAATAGAGTAATAATATTCAACTGAATTGAACAACCGTTATGCAACTAAACCTTAAAGAAGCCTTATTTTCGGTACCATAGGGTTTTTGGGAAAACCTTTTTAATGGAGGTCCGCAAGAGTATATGGTTTGATCAACGCCCTTTTTAACTCAATTTATAGTTGTGAATTTTTGGTGGATTGTTAAAAAAAAAAATTCTTAGAAATTCGAGACGATTAAATTTGTTTCTATTTATTACTAGTGTACGCTTACGTATTCAAATAATAACCACAAAGAACTTTCTGTAGGAATCTTTTATCTCCTATATTGCTACAAAGTATAAACATTCACCCGAAAGTGAAATAAACAAATTTTGGAACGAAATATCAAACGTCTCCTGTGGTGAGTGTTTCACGAAACTGTTAAACTCTGTTTTAAATTAAACCTCAACTCAGTTTGGATTTAATTGGATTCACTTTTACAGCTGAGATCAACGTGATTGCTCCGTTGATATCCAACTTCTACTTGGCGTCCTATGCTCTCATCAACTTCTGCACCTTCCACGCTGCTCTGGTCAGGCCGCTGGGCTGGAGGCCTACCTTCAGGGTACGTTAAAAATGTTTACTTCCTCTTGCTGTTTAATTACATTCTAAAATACCGACCTTTGGGTCAGTTGAGTCTTGTACAAAATCTTGTATTCTTGTATTTATAGGATAATATGTACCTAATGATATAACTAGATTAGCAATATCAGAAAAAAAATCCAGAAAATTAGCAAAAAACAAAAAGAAATTTTAAGTACTAATTTATTTCATATGTTAAAATTCTTGTTAGTCTATGATGGTGAAAAGCCTATGATGGATACAAGGATTAACTCCAATAATTAATCTGACAGTTATCGTTTAATTTGTCAAGGACAAGAAAATAGTGTTAATTAAAGTTTGTATATAAATACTTGACGTTGTTTTAGTCTATTAAACTGTACTTAAAATCTATGAGGTACTATCACTGTCAAAATAGAAATACTTGTGAGTACAGTTTAATTCCTGATGACTGTGTCGTGTTAGATACTGAAGTTCAGGACATTACCGCCCAGTCTTCAGGTCAACATACACGTTGAAAGATGTAGTGGTTTTGTGATTAAACAGTGTCTAAATTGTCTGAAGGTAGAGAACGGGAATTTTTTCAAAGCGTTGGTATTTTAAATCGCTAAAACATTACAGTTGAACCCTGAAGTCATGAGGATTGCCAATTTTAAAACCTGTCATTGAAGTCTTCATTGTTTACTTTCATTTTCTATAGCAATTTTATCGCAGAAATTTTTAATTATTTATTGTATTATTTATCACACGTCATAAAACTGACTAGTCATTTTGTTATAGGTTTCTCTTTTTTCAGTTATATGATTTTTTACTGTACTTATGATAAACATTAAAAGTTTAACCTACTATTCCAACACAGCATCATTATTATTCATTAATTATTTTTGACGTGTATATTAAAAAGTATATACATTTTCAGTACTACAACAAATGGCTCAGTCTTGCTGCGTTTTTCCTCTGCATTATCATCATGTTTCTGCTGGATTGGATGAGTTCAATCATCACCTTCGTTGTATTTTTTGTGCTCTACCTCGTCGTCATTTACCGGAATCCAAGTAAGATACAAAAAAAGTATATACATAATAGTACTATTAGTATTATTACGTTATCCTAGTTTAAAGAACTTGACTTGAATTAGATTTACCTTTGTCGTTGTTGTCTGAGTTTTTGTAGGTAAGTTAGTATCAACAGACATATCTACATACATACATACAGGGTGAATAAAAAGTCAAGACCCCCCCCCCTCTAATATTTTTCCAAGTAAATATATAGAGATATCCTTTTGGTGGTCGAGCAATCTTAGCAGGAAGTTTCATTTTATCATTTTGAAATTTTTGAGTGTGTGGGGGGATTTGGGGGGCAACTCAAATATTTTAAATGTTAACCCCCTTCAAGTGACACATCATTTTGAAGTGTTTACAAAAGCTTAAAGAATGGTGAAAACTAGAGGTCGCTATCTCTTCTCTATCCAAAATGGTAACCCGTCAAATGTTGTGGAAAATCAACTGTAAAAATTGTTAATATTGGCTGCTATTTTGGATAGAGAAGAGATAGCGAGCTCTGGTTTTCACCATTCTTTAAGTTTTTGTAAACACTTCAAAATGAGGTGTCACTTGAAGGGGGTTTACATTTAAAAATTTTGAGTGTCCGCCAAAAGGGGGGATTCAGGGGACAACTAAAAATGTTTCAATAGAAACCCCTATCAAGTAACACCTCATTTTGAAGTGTTTAAACAAACTTAAAGAATGGTGAAAACCAGAGCTCGCTATCTCTTCTCTATACAAAATAACAGCCAATATTAACAATTTTACCATTGATTTTCAACAACACTTGACGGGCTACCATTTTGGATGGAGAAGAGATAGCGACCTCTAGCTTTCACCATTCTTTAAGCTTTTGTAAACACTTCAAAATGAGGTGTCACTTGAAGGGAGTTTACTTTTAAAATATTTGAGTTGCCCCCCAAATCCCCCCTTTTGGGGGGACACTCAAAAATTTCAAAGTGATAAAATGAATTTTCCTGCTAAGATTGCTCGACCACCAAAAGGATATCTCTGTATATTTACTTGGAAAAATATTAGAGGGGGGGGTTTGACTTTTTATTCACCCTGTAGGCCTATACAGACATATACTGTACAAGGTCTTAGGCGACAAAACCACAGGTAGATCCAATATACAAAGTTATTTTATATTGGACCAAAATTACACATTTTGTCGGAGACCAAATAAGTATAAATTGTTGTGTATTAGTTTTCTATTCATAGCTGGATTTAGAAAGTTTTTAAACAACTGTCATAAAGTACGAAACATTTAAGATTCGAATAATAGGCTACACACCATTAAGAGTTTACTAGCACTGTTTAAGACATATGCAACTATCCATGCAACAATCAATTTTCACTTTACCTCATGACAAGGGAACCTGTGGAAGCGAGCTGGTCTAGTGGTAGAGCGCGGTACTTCGGTTTCTTAGGTTCCAGGTTCAAATCCTGTCGAACCCCCAATGGATTTTATCGAAATGATAATGCCGCAGCCCTTAGCACTAGCCCGAAGTAATGTGAAAAACCATCCCAGACTAGTTCATAGCGTCCTAGGAAAAAATATATAGAACCTAGAGAAGCATTAGACTCAGAAAATCGTGTGTGTAATTAAACTTTTCACGTAAGTTACTGTATATAAAATTCATAGCTTTTATTTATGGTTATTCCTTTTCAGATGTAAACTGGGGATCGTCCACGCAAGCACAGACGTACAAGCGAGCGCTTATGACGATGCACAAACTGTTCAACCAGTCCGAACATGTGAAAAACTACCAACCTCAGATACTTCTACTGGTTGGTCAACCTCAAGCTCGTCCTCCGCTGGTAGACTTGGCCAACCTCATTACCAGAAACAACTCTCTTCTGATATGCGCAGACATCTACAAGGTAAACTTCAAGTGTTAGCCTCGGATAGTAATTTAACTGACGAAAACCTTGATCAATATAAGCGTTTTAGCCTATTTCAAGATCTTCTTTCATGAGTACATAATCTTTTGGTAATATATATTATGAGTGTACTGGACTTATTCCCAGTAGAATATGTCAGTTCTTAGTACACTATTTAAGGTTGTATCAAAAAACCAATCATCACCATTTAAAATGTGTTGAGAAAAATAGTCGATTTTAATTTTAGGAGTTTGAGGACATATCAATACCTAAGTTTGTTTTTACTTCTTCGACACTTGATAGACTCTATGGATACCTATTTTACGTGTTCAATTCTGTACTAATGTAGGGGAGAGAGTTAAATCCCCGTTTGTAATATTTTTTGCCTGAAACTAAATTTTTTGTATAAGATAATTTGGAGTCAGTGTAAAAGAGTACCAATCTTCTTGACAGGAAATAATGTTATGTTTGTTATTTGCAATAAGAATAAAATTTTTTCAACTAAGCTAAAATCCTCTTGAAATATATATAATTCATATTTCAGATCCAGTAACAAAAACCCTTCTACGTACTTAACCAAATCTCCATCACCCTCATTTGCCCACTTTATATAAAGTCACATCGGTCAAGGTAGTTAACTTTAACTACCTGTTTATCTTTGTCACAAGCTATCTTCCGGCAAACATTTATGGACTGTTAAACCCTGGCATTGTGTTCGACATTTTAGCGGAATATAAAGCGCTGATGCTCTCGAAATGCATTAAGTGACGCCATGAAGAAGAAGATGGCTCAGTGGGGAACGCTGGTTGTAAAATGAAACTGTCGCAAAATGTTTTAGGGTCAACGTCGTGCCAACAACCTTTCCGCCAGCTCTTGCGTGAGATGAATTCACTAGGGGAGTGTTCTGACCTTTGTCTTGTGTGAAAATATTGTTCTTCCATGTTTTAGACCGAGTGGAATTAAAGAGAAATTTTAATTGTGACACAAAAAATTAACTACTGAAAATGTGTGTGGATTTAATTTTAAATATTATGAACAAATCAATTAAAGTGTTATTGAAACAAATATTTGTGGTTCCAATGTTGAAACGGTTTTAAGTTTTGTTGCTAGAATATCTAGGTAAAAATAGCTATTAAATTAAGAGTCACAGTATTCATTTTTATAAACTATTATACATTTACTAATGTAATTCATATAACCGATTTAAAGAATTTATTGTGATTACTATATAATTTTATTAAAATTGCTATGACTATGAAACGACGGTCACAATTGTTCAATTCATAAAATTGAATTATTAATGGAAGTTGCTAAGGGTTTGCAATAATGCATTTTTAAAGTAGTTTGGATGTATTTATTCTCAGGGAAATTAATATCTTGACAACATTCATTGCAGGTAATTTAAAACGTGCAAGTTTGACAATATAAGCGAAACGCTACCATTGCGGTTGTTGAACCAGGAGTGGGAGATATTATGAAGATAAAACATAACGTAACTGTTTTGAATCCAAACGAATAGTTGTAACATATAATAATGTTTATATTTTGTCTGTCTAATTATATTTTCAATTTAATAACACACTTTGATTATGTTTTGAGCCTGTGATGTCATTTTTTTACGTTTATGGTCCGTATAGTTTCTGTTTTCATATCCGTGACTGTTATTGCTATTATTATCTCCTGTCTGTCGCACTCTTACTACATTCCTCAACAACATAAGAAGATCATGTAGATATTTTAAATTATCAATCGTATCGCAAGTATTTAACTACAAAATTAAGATTAAACGGGAGTTAAAACGTTTTTAACCTTAAACAAATTTGTATGACTTTTGAAGGATTATCATGTGAATGCTATACAATCCACTGTTCCATAGCTTAAAATGTTCAACAATTTCATCAAAATGCACTTTTCTGTGATTCCAGCAAAGGCTGACCTACCGCCAGCGCATGGCGCTGCAGAAGCAAGGCCAAGCATGGCTGGGTATCAGGAAGGTGAAGGGGTTCTTCACAGTGACAGACGGGTACAAGTTTGAGGTGGCTGCTAGAGGACTGATGCAATGCTCAGGCGTAGGCAGACTGAAGCCTAATGTACTCATGATGGGATACAAGAGTGATTGGTTGTCATGTCATGTGGACGATCTGCAGACCTACTTCAACATCATGCAGTGAGCGGTTCTGTTGACGAAAAAGAAGTTACTTAATTGAAATAAGACCTAAGTTTTCAGGCATTGATATAGTTTGAATTACTTCTTGGATCTAATAGTTACCTGAGAATGTCAATTTATACCTTCATTCAATTAGTAGTAGAGGATGAATAGCTAAAAAGACAAAAGTTGTTCTGACTTGGTAAAATTCTTCTGCTATTAGAATACAATCATAAATGTCTAACTAATATAAATTACAGTAATAATATAAATGCCCCTTGGCTTCCTTGCTAGGTAACAATGATTATTTTATTTTCTTAACAAAGATAGTACTTGTATCATACGTTCATCTGAGCTTTCCTGATTACATTTTTGAACCCTATCAGTGTTTAAAATTTATTGCTAGTGAATTGTGTTAACTAACTATAATGACAATACAGGGTCTTTTGAAGAACGCTCCAAAATTGTTTGGTACAATAAAATATTATTATTATCGTATTTGAGAGCTCTCTCAAAAAAACCAAAATATAATAAACTACTTTTACGCAATCCGAAATCCTTCAACTTCTGTTTTTTCTGCTCAAAACGTTTTAAACCGGTATACTCTTAGTCGTGGGACCGAACGTGCAAATTTGGTAGATTTCGTATATCTAAGGAAATCATATATATATGTAAAAATTTCTGTTGATATACTAAATGCCTCCATGGTTATGAAGGTGTAAAGTGAAAGCTTGGCAACTATCCTCAATATTAAAACTGGTGGAAGAAAAGTCAGTACTGTAACCTAAAAGAAAACTAACTAAACCAAAATTCACAACAATTTAATTTATATTTTTTAATTTATATAATAAAAAAATCAATGAGCCCTTATGTTACTGACCATAACGTTTTCAGTGACGCGTTTGAGAACCGGCTGGCGGTGACGATCCTCCGCCTGCCAGAAGGGCTTGACTTCTCCAAGCCGATGGATCTGTCCCAGGTACCTGAGGAACTCTCAGCATCCATGGGTGACCTGAGTACAGGGACGACCTCCGGCAACGGTGTAGGGATGGTGCATAACGACTCCAACCTCTCCTATATCCTGCCTAGTGTGCTATCTCAAACTTCACTCACTATACCAGGTAAGGCATGTTTATGTTTCCTCGTTAATAATTCTCTTTTTTTGGAACTTTATATTTGTATCAGAATTGTTATTGTCACTTTGAAAACTTTTAGTTTTTGCCATTTGTTTCCTTTGTTAACATAGCCAACCTCAATGTTTTTACTGTCATGTGCAGGCTGCCACGTGTAATGTTAGAAGTAGAGACATCTTGATGATTCGATAATTTAAAAAAATACGTTTTAAGTTGATAAACAAGCTTGAAATACATACATTCATATTTATACATTTCAAGCTTCAAGACATGATTAGTTTCAAGACCATATTGAACCATCTTCTCTAAGAATTAATGTATTTTATTTTTTAAAGTGATGCTTTGAAATTTTAGTAGCAAATATCATTGCATGCTTTCTTAATAGAGGTTGATATTGTTTTTGCACTAGGTGTCAGTAAGTATTTGGTTAAACAAATTTCAGCCTAAACTTTGTAGTGAATAAACCTATCACACAGGATAATGTTAATTTTGTGTTCGGTATTGAACTGGACAAAGTAGATGATTTTAGCTTACTAAAACGATGTAATTATCAGATAGTATTTTTTTTTTTTTATTAATCTTCTTAAAATAATATGTAAATAGTCCCTTTTATTCACACACAACAATTAATTTGCTGTACAGAGTTACTTGAAATAAAATTAGAACAACAAATGTAACACACACATTTAGAATTTGGATCAACGCAATCAATACACTTTGTATTTTCACTGTAAACCACAAAAATACAAATCGATATAAGAAAGGGGTGGGTATTGGGAAGAAGTATATAAAGGTTGGGGGTTAGGGAAGGGTAATATTGAGTGTGGAATAGCAAGAGGGATTTAGAGCTTTGCATATCTAGACAACTCAAGTAGACATGTGGATTATCTCTTCACCCAAATGGCTCTTTCCTTTAACATTGCATTATAGTCTACCATTTACAGATGTTTGCTAATAGTGTGCAATGTAAACGTGTGTTATCATTCTCTGCAAACGGCTTATTCTCTAGCATTTCTTGTAATAGTCGAAGATTAAGAGAGATTTTTTTTGGAAAATATAGTGAGCTATTTTAATTGCGTAGATTATACTCTTACTAAGCTACTTCTCTGGGCAGACTAGTAAGAGAACAAACTAGTGCAGTGGTAAAGAAGAGGTTTTGGTCTCTGAAGTCCTGGGTTCAAAAATTTTAAATACCCAATGATTTTTACACAAAATGTGATATTGTCTCAGCCTATAGGGTGGTCCAAATTAATGTACACAATTCGGGTTGGAGTAAAGTGTTATATGATGTAGGATGAAGCTATCCGGTAAAATTGATGTGTCCTATAACTTGGGAGAAATCGGCCATGCTTTTTAATACCTATCGGTAAATATTACACAGTTTAAGTATACATATTACCCATAGAAATGACACCGAAATGACTTACACTTTATTCTCCCATTATTAGCTTAGTGAACTCAGAGCTACCGCTAATATATTTTTTTATAAGTGTTAATAATGTTTATCTATTTATGAAATGTTTTGTTGAACTTAGGTTCCAAACCAACAACAGATCGGCCCAGTGCAATGAACCCCTGGGAAAACAATCCATCGTCAGCTCTGAAACAGAAGAAAAAGAAAATTGCCTCACAAATTCTACATCAGTAAGTTTCGCATTCATAACGAGGTAATGCATGGTAAATTTTGGATTCTATTTAATAAGGGGCGGTTCAACATCGAATGACCATTGGTCATACTACAGGAATGGCCGTTTTATATAAAAACAACATAGCATTTTTTCCCCCCTAATCTATCACAAATAACCTTAAAAGTAACTTCAGGATCTGAATTGAATGATTTCTGTCATTGGTTCAAAATATGTTTCAAGTATATATTTTTAACACATGAAATGTGTCACTATTTTCATATCCAAGCTGCCTTACTACTGCGTATATTTTACAGGCAGTCAATTACTTGGGCACTCACTGAAGTTAAAAAAATAGTGTTTTAGGTTATAGTTTACCCTTTTCTTGAATTGGTAACGTTGGTATTATGATTATGATTTTTCGTGTTTTATTTTTATGATAATGGCTTTGAATGTTCTTTGAAGCTGCATTAAAATAGATTTGGCCATAATTATTCTCAATATGCATTTTTCTTATATTCAATGTTTATTCGCCTCTATATCGTTGCAGATACGAGGGAGGTCAGGAGATAAGCAAGTCTGTTCTAGACAACATGATGACGTTCACCAAGAAACAGAAGGGAGGAGTGATCGACGTATGGTGGCTATACGATGATGGGGGTTAGTTTGTTTTTGTTGTACTAAAATATACACATAGTTTTCTTGATACCAATTTTAATTCAAAAGAGGCATACTTTTAAGTGTAAAAATTTTTGGTAATATACGTGAATCAATAAACAATTTTTAAGTAATATTTTAGGTTTATTCTAAACCCATATTTCATCCACTATATATTTTGGGTTAAAATAATCATATTTTTATCTGAATTAGGTGGACTGTTCACTTGATATTGTTCATGGGACTTGAAAGTGAATTGTATTTCTTAGTTACATGTTATTAAGAAAAATTTAAAAAATGCAATAATTTAACACATTTTAGTTTCATTCCATGAAAGGTGGTAGGGTAAATTATGGCCTAAAAGGTTTTTGTCGTGTTATTCTGGTACAAGGGAACATTCATTGAGTAAAATCATTTGTAAAATCACGCATAGTAGTTTTTACATTTTTTTATTTATTTACTGGTGTTATCCAATTACTTGGTGTCCTACTGTCCTTAATCAAACCTTTGGAGTAAGAGTAATTACAACCTGTATGAGAAGTGACATAAGCTTATGTTCCAATAGCTGAATTGATCTGATAATTTTACAATAGAAACTACTGGAAGAAATCAAACTACAAAACCTCTAGCCTATAAATATTCTATATGCTTGTCAAGCCATCCAACCTTTTAATATCATGGTATTTATCTATTCACAGGTCTTACAATTCTACTGCCATACATCCTAAGTACGAGGTCAATGTGGTCCAACTGCAAACTAAGAGTTTTCGCTCTCGCCAACAGAACACATGAACTGAAATCTGAAGAACAAGGGTAAGTTAAATACTACTGTACAAAAGATATTGTTATGTGGCGTCAATTTGAATTTGACTATTTATATGGTTTCTAAAGTGTTAAATGTATTTGACTATTTTAAAATTTATTTGGTATTTTTAAATGCTTTCTTATTGATTCAATCTGAGGAAAAGCTTGATTACTCTTGGTATTTTTTACTTTGAGGTAATTACATTTTCTGATTTTTTTAAAAGAAAGTCTAGAATCTTAAAAATTAAATCAAAACCATAGTATTTAACAGTAGTTGTACTTCTGGCTAATTTTTAACATAGTACAAACTAAACTTGAATAGCAGTATTCGATAATACTTATTGTAAAAGAAAAAATGGCAGGAATAAATAGTAACCAAAATTATAATTAGATTGATTCTCCAGCCATACCATAAGTTTTTTTGTTTAAACTATGCAAAATTATGAGCAGCACCATAGGGAATCGAAACAATAAAAGCAATCTGATAATGTAACAGATATACATACAATTTACCTAATATAGTAATTTTGTTTCCTATTAGGATGGCAAATCTCCTGGCAAAGTTCAGGATCAACTACACAAGTTTGACAATGATCCACGATATTTCTGAGCCACCAAGGCAAGGGACAATCACCTTCTTTGAAAATCTCATTTCTGGCTTCAGAGAGTCCAATAAGAATAATACAGGTATAGATCACAATTATTAAAAAAATATATCATTATTTCTAATGAGCATGTTTCCATATTGTCATCAGACATTTTTAACTTATTGTTTTTTGGACGTAAAATCTCTGTTTGACTTTGTAAAAATTAACTACTATCAAGAGACTTACATTATAAATAACCAAACTTACTTGACTTACCTAAATAATGTTGTATGCAGTTGTCATTGTAAAAGTTTAAAATAAATGGTTAAACAGTAAATGCTCTGTGGTGTTTGAAAGGTAAGGAGCTGCATCATCACACATGTTTATACCACAAACAAAATCCATCGATTTTTGCATCAACCACGGCGTCAGAATATAAGCTCTCTGCCACACTTTATCCTCTCAGTATGAAGTGGCACCTCAGTTGCTTGGCTGAGACTCGATTCTTCTTTGTTTTTCATCATATTGATGTTATTTAGGTCGAGTTTTAATCTAGCTTAGGGGATGCAACTTCAATGACTATGCAATTGAAGTTGTTCTGACGGCTAAATTGACACTGATCGAAACTGACACTGGCTGGGAAAATTATTTAAAAACGTATGAAACCAAAAATGTGTGATGAAGACCAGTCTGTCATACACTAAACAATCCTAGAAATAGTTGTTAGTTTTTTTTTTTATCTGCAACTCTTTAGTTTTTTTACAAAGCTAAAAAACTTATATCTTCTCTTCCAGAGTGTGTGGTGACGGATGACGAATACAGAAGCCTTCGAGAGAAAACTTATAGACAACTTAGACTTCGAGAACTTCTTCAACAGCACTCTCGAGACTCAACACTAGTTGTCATGTTAGTATTATACCTTACCTTTCCCTAGGAGTATGCATTATATGTACTTGTATGTTTAATATGTTGTTGGTACTTGTTAGGGTTTTAAACATTTGAGTATTTTTCAATATGCCCTGTTGAAGTGGTTAGTGCACATGATTTCTGACCTAGAGGTTAAAGTCAAACTATTTAACGATGTTATTGGGAACCAATGCCAATTCCTCGTTCCACCTGTTCCCAAAAAAATCATACACCTCTATGAGGTTATGAAACCCTACTTCTTTCCCACATTGGGAGTCTTCACGTACCTCATTTCTCTACACAAGAACCCAAAAGCAATCCAAAACTTACTTTGTGGTAGAGATAAAGCAGAAAAAAGTGTATAAACTAATTTTAAATCAACTATACACTTCTAAAACATCTTGACTGGGGATGTAAGATTCTAGAACAAATTCAACCATTATTTTAAAAAATACCTACAATCCCTTTACAATTTATTAAATAGATTTAAATATACACGGCTAACTCGTTATACTAGCTGTTAATTGTCATAGAACTTGAATGAGATCTACATAACATATTTACAAAACATTATTGACTTTGCAGGTCTCTGCCTATGCCCAGGAAAGGGCTGGTGTCTGCTCCTCTGTACATGGCTTGGCTGGAAGCGATAACAAACAACATGCCTCCCTTCCTTCTGGTCCGAGGGAACCAAACTTCTGTCCTTACGTTTTACTCATAGTCTAGTATTTATGTAGTATTGTTTTGTCTTTTTGTAATTTAAGTATTAAGTAGTCCTGAACAAGTATTTATCAGATAATTTAACATAGTGTCTCCTTAAACATCTTGAATTTTGTTTATCTTATATCTTACAACGATGAATGTTTAAATCTGATAAACAAACGAACAAACAGGGTAAAGTTCACTCCAAGTTTTTAATTTTCAATACAGGATTTTTCATTTATTTCCATTGATATTATTAATTTACTTTTCAATATTTACAAATACTATTTATTAGCTTGATATTTAACTTGCAGGTTTTCCTGTTTCTGTTTTATTAATTTAATTTAACGATTTTATGTAAAGAAGTTCAATACAAAAACGATTGTTTTGAGGTTGTTGCCTGGATAAGGTTTTGTTAAGTTTTTAAATTTGTAAACAAGAATGTAAATTTATAAGATCATTGTGTTTAGTATAAAAGGCCTGGCCTGTTTAATAGTTAAGATGTGTTTAAATAACTATTTTATCCATACAGCTAGCGAGAATCATAATTAACAGTTATTTACATACCTTTATTGTTGACAAGCTAAAATTAAAAGGTTATTATCTTAAGAAACCATCATTTTCTCTCAAGAACCTTAACTTTGAATTTGACTTAACTTTACAAAATAAAACTATAACATAGTTAGTAGATAAGTTTTTAGTTAAAACAAGTGAATCTATGGATTATATCAAAGATACGCAATTAATGTTCAAAGTTGATAAGTAGGTAAAGTCGAAATTCTAGTAATTTTATGTTGAACTTAACAAATTTAAGTTTAATAAAAAAATACTTTTGAAAAATTAGTTATAGTGCAAATATAATCATCATGGAACTATTTGCTATGGATGAACAACATAATAAATTAAATTATGACTTTGGCAGCTAAAATCGAATAAAATATGGCTGTGACCTTATGTAGTATAAAATAGATGTATTCGTAGGCAAGATTTTTAAAAAGATGTGTTATATTAAATTGAATTTATATCAAATATTGTTGATGATCATTAAATAAGTTTTACTCTTGAGTTTGTTTTTCATTTTAACACATTAAGAATTTTGTCATGAAACACAATTAATTCAAACATTAAAGTATTATGGAGTTTAGGAGTTGACCACATGTTCAAAAGACATACTACAAAACGTGTATTTGACCTTAAACATTTCAAAAAAGTCATTGAACGTCATAAAATACACTTAAAAATTTGACTGTACGGTCAAATAGGACGTTGAATGTGTTTTGCAAACGTTTGAATTGTATATTTAGATTTACATGCTGATTCTATCCATGGGGTTTTATAAGCCCTTCCCTATTGCCAGAATAAAAATAATTAACAAATAAATATCTTTCTTGAATTTGGTTTTGTTTTACTATCGATAAATTTCATTTAAATCTAGAGAAATTTATAGATGGACAAAGAAAAAAAATGTATGTACAAAATTTTGTAAAACGTATCTTATTTTAACATAACACTTCATGTATTCAAAGTTCGATAACAACTACTTATTACTTTTTTTTACTCTTGAGGCTTGGTGGTTTGTTTTTCCCCTAAAGGTGGTTTTATGTGACGAGTTATCACTAATAGATATTTGACCAAGGGGTCACCTTTCAATATACTTTAAGATTTAAGCTCTGTAACAGGCCTAGTTTGATATTTAGGGTATTTGTTTTTTTCTAAATTAATACATTTAAAATGGAATCAATTATAAAGGGAGATTATTCGAATTAACGCCAAAAAAATCGCACAAACAATTCAACAAAAACAATCAATTCGTTGTGGTTTGGTCATCAATGCTTTCACTAAATGTGTTTTATTTAATATTATTACTCCTTAATAAGGCTCCGAAAATAGTAATACCATTGACTATCAATACACGCCTGTTCATAATGTAGAATTTTACGACTGGATTGAAGAATCGCTTGAGAAAAGTTTATAAAGAGGTTTGTTGTTTTTATACATTCGCCGATATTTTCCTCGTCTCCTTCAACGAGGCGAGAACCCTTGTGAACGCGTTTTACGGAAATTTCACTCTATCTGCTTGCTTTACAGCAAAGGACAAATAACTTTATTTCCTTCAGTTATTTTGTTGACACGCAATTTTTAATCCGAAGATAAAACGTATATTTGCAGCCAAGGATAATGGCAAGGAATATCAGCTTGTATCAGTTGATCAATGTAATAAATAACCATTAAAATATTTAATATCCTTTTTAAACCCTAATTAAAATTATTTGTTATTTTTGAATGATTAACTAACATAGACATACAGAGTTGTTTCATAAAATCACCCTAGTCGAAATAAAAATCGTTGTATAAAATAGTTTGAAGTTTTTCAGTAACACCGGTAGCGGTTCACAATTTTTTTTTTATTTAGGATATTTTTATGGAACCATTCAAACTATGCTATTGTTACCCCTAACGTCACCCTTTAGATGGTCAGCATTATTTTTATAACCCCTCATGACAAATGCAATCTAGGTTTAGAACCGACTTTGGTAGGATTCGATCCAATCACCTTCATATAATGAATTTTTACACTTTATTTATGCATTGTGTCAAACCAAACTAGGCAAATTTCATAGCGTTTATGCACAGAAATCGTCCTAAACTGACGTTTAAAAGCGATACACAATAACTGTTTTCTTGCTTCAAAGAATGAGTGTCTCACAAGAATTCCTGGTCACCTGTCGGTTCAAATTAGACAACCTTAAAGTATTTAATCTCTTAAGAGTGCTTCGATGGATTGGTTTTTCTCGAGCATTTCTTTCTTTTCATGGTCAATTTCGTGTTTACAGTCATATTATTATACATCAGTGATTTTACAAAAACAACCTGAAAAATAATAGTTACACAGAATACAGTAATGCTTAGTTTCGTAATAATGAAGTTTTTTGTGTAAAATTTTAATTTATAAAGAGTCTAATATTTAAAGAAATGTTAAAAGTGTTTAAAACCTGTAGTGGAACCGCTACTGTGGTGATTTCCTGTACGACAGCAGCGTGTGCCTCAAATAATTTAAAATAGTTTGTCTGTATCACTACGGGATGGAGACATAATTAAGTCTTCCAGGTAACAAATTTTATTAACGTTCTTCAAACCGATATACTCTGAACAAAATAGAGTTGATAATTTCGCAATATATTGATTTAACTCGTAGGTTAACAAAAATACTCTTTAATATATTTGAAACATAATGTGATAATTTAATGTAATCATGCAACAGAACTCAAGTAGTAATCGTGGTTCTAGCTAGCTAACCACAGTTAAAATACTCGTTGGATAATTATTCGTTTTGGTTTCAGTTTAAGAGGTTTGTAAATTTGGTTGTAATTGAATTTGCGTTTACATTACGAGTCAACTAGGTTTAATAAAGTATGTGTAATTGAAATCAGCTGTTACAAACCATCCCCATTAATTACCAGTCTGTATCGTGTAACTAGCCTTAAGTGACTATCTATGTCGTAACACAAAATGTAAAAACCCTAAAATGAATGTGCTGATTTATAACGTGTACGTACATTTCACTAGATAAAATAACCAATAGGATTATGTAGTGTATAATATTCTATTTCAAATTACATCACAATGGTTGTAAGAAGTGGAAGAATCTGATTCAATCTCAAAAGTTACAATTGCAAAGTTGAGAAAGGTACGATCGTGGCCATCTTTGTGTCGATGTCACTAACTTTTGTTGTAGGTCGAGAAATATCATTATTTTGGATCAGTTTTCAAATAGTTATTATAATGTTAAATATGCAACATATTTAATCACTGATTTTTTTCTAATTTTGATATCTTATTGGTGTATGCTTTGGTGACATAATTATGTAGTTAGTTCAGTAGCAAATAAGTTCTACATTAGTTGGACATAAGTTCAAAAGTAAATCGTATAGATAATTTGAATTGTAATAGTTTTAACAAAGTTGTTGATGAAGGTGTCATTTTTTAGCTTGTAAGTACTATAGGTTGTATTTTGTTGGATTTTCTATTCTTGGATTGACAGTGTAGTATAACATTATGATGTTAAGCTAGGACGCTAGAAAAAGTTTAAAAGTAATATTTGTAACATAAAATTGTCCCTCAATTATCTTGATTACACTTGCATTTAAATGACCAATTAATATATTGTTACCATGCAGGATAGACTATTCTAATCTATTTACTATTCTATATTATTACTAGTGAACCTGTGCGGCTCAATGCCCCGCAAAATAACATATGATTTTAGAAAACAAATTCTTCGTATTATATATTGACTCGACGACGAAAATTAAATACAGTAATAATGAAACCTTGGAAGGGAAGCAGTCCAGCCATTTTCTAGCTGTGTGTGTATTATATTTAGTAAATTAATAAGTGTTCAAGTTCAAGTACCGGTATGTTATAGGCAGCGAGCAAGGTTATAGGGTAGTTATGTTTTAAAGATTTTTATAACACATTTAACAAAACATTTTACCATATCAAACCAATAGGCCTATGTAGCATTTTTTGATGGTCATAAAAATGCTGCTTGAAGAAAACACATTTTTAAAAATAAACACTAAAAAAACAATATTTTTATCACAAAAGCACTTCCATGAATACTACGATTTTAGCCTTAAAGTTACCTTCAGGAAGATTACCCTGGTCAGAGTTTTCCGTAACGAATATACTTATCCTATTAAAAGATGTAACCTTACTTAAAACAACATATAATATAGTTGCTCATGACTGAAATTGGTCCGGGTAAGAACAGCACTGCAAATGTCAAAGGTTATTAGCATCTTCCCATTTTAAAAGGTAAGTTTGTTTCAGACGGGTAAATTTTTATCCTCGAAATCAAAATATGTCCCCACTCACTTGTTCCAGCTAAGACTTAACATTCTATTAAGTTGTTAACCATTCTGATCACATGAAGCCTTGTGCCATTAATGAGGCCCTTTTTGATGTATTAATATTCCTCACCATTAAAACCACTGCCCCCTTTTATTAGTCTAATCTGTGTCTTGGCAATCCACCGACCTCTATATTTAAAAACTCAGTTGGATTTTCTAGATGGGTGTCTCCGCCTTCGTCTGTTTTCAAGGACCCACTCTTCTTCCCCTCAGGGTAAACTGACAATTAATTACCTGACTTGTCAAGTTCATGTAGTAATTCATTAATACTGTTAGTTTATAAAGAAAATTTTATAAAAGTTACTTGGCTTGGTGCTTTTATAACTGCAAACTCAAAATACACCCACAATTAAAAAAATTAAGATATTGGTTAAAAAAAATATGTTTGTGTAATAACATTATTCACATAAAGTAGATGATTTGTTTGATTTGTCGATCAGCTGTTTAGTTTCAAATGAATTAATAATGTCAAAGATTTGTGATTTAAATACATAAATTACTATAGTAAAGTTTTCTAAATCATGGTAACTTATTCTCCACTAAATTTTACTATTCCCAGCATTAAAATAAAGTAGGTAGTAAGATCCATTATGGGTAAACTTTAAGGTACACAATCCTTGATTGAAATGTAGTAGGTATACATTAAGAGTCATAATACACAGCAATTATTATGTAGCAGACTTTGACTATTTTCAAGTAACAAACATATGTTTCTGTAAATAAACATTATCTCCCATGTTATCCTTATGGAGAAATACGAAACTTTAAAGGGCTCCAGGGCCTTAATCTCTCATTATTTCCCTAAAAAGAAAGTTTCCTGCACAACTTCACGTTACGCTCTTTCCAATGACACCAAAAACATGTCAATCGGTTCAGTAGTTTCGGAGGAGTAATTGTCACAAAAATCCTGCTTGCGTATTAAATAAGTATAGATTCTAATTAGAATAGTTAAATTCACCAGTTTGTCAGAAATCATTTAAACACTCAGAGTCACTTCAGTTCAACAGACAATGTATTATTCATAGAGTTGGTCAACAAGTCCTAAGTTTTGTCTTTTTTGTCTTTTTATTAACTTCTAAATCAATTAATAGCAATCTTAATCTTAGGTAAATAGTCCT